TGGGGGGCGTCGGGTGGTCGGCGTGGGGGGTGTGTGGGCAAATTTCTACCCTAAACACTTCAACACTCCTTTCAGGTCGTGTTTCACAAGATGTACAAATAATATTTAATCTATGAACAACATTAATGCATCACTATCTTAACTACTTTTTTTTAATTAATGCGATATTGTATTTATTGTTTTGTTATTACTTTATTGCAGTAATAATTTATTACTCGTTATGGCTTACTACTTTATTTGTAATTATCTTTATTACTTTAAGAATATGTATTACTTATTACTAGTAATTAAAGTACCAAGAAAGTACTTCATATTTCGCTAATAAGGAACGATATAAGCTCTGTTATCATCACAATACTAAAAGCAAAACAAATGATAATAAAAAATACACTCTAAAAGAAAAGCGTATTCTTGGAAACCCAATATGGGTTTCCAAGGCATTGGAACCTCTTAAATTGATAATATCATCAGTGATAAAAACAAAGCTCAGGAAACGGATTCCCCGTTTCCCAGCAGACTGAAAGTTTAAATTACTCCATATCAGGAGAATCTCTGGCTTAACTACAGAATTCTCTACACATTGAAGAGCGTCTCAGGGTGCTGTTCAAACTTACACTGCACCACAATTCGAACATCTTCCATGAGAGCAAGCTGAATACTGAGAAATTCACATAGTAATTATAAAATCAATTACTATGGGGTAGTTCTTCGTTGAAACATCAATATACGTAAGCTGTGATTTATTCTTCAACGCCAATGATTATTGATTCACCTTTCACATGAATCTAAACAGAAAAAGAATTAATTTCACAAAAAAATGACTTACCCTGAATTTGTTGTTCATGTCTATCTAAATAGATGAAAAAAGAATTAATGTTTTAAATAATCGCTTTCTATCAACTTGTTGTTGGGATAAATCTGCAACTAATGAGTAACTTTAATCGAATAGTGGTTTATTATCGAATCTTTTTAATTTTGTCCAATCAACTATTTATTAAAGGAAAAGAACATAAAAAATGTCTCTATAATAAAAAATGTGTATGAATAAGTAAAAATACAAAAATTCGAGCAGGATGATATTGAAAATAGTAATAAAAATGAAGTCTCTAAATCAATCGACACTGATGAAAAAGGAGTGATAAGAAACAAGAAGTTATAGTTTTTTTAAAGAAAAATAATGAAAAGCAATAATCTTTTAACATTAATAGAGAAAGAGAAAGATAATCACAATGTTCCCTTGCTTTTTTTTTATTGCTTTGTGGTCATTTTCAACGTCTTTTTCGATTAGTAGATCTAGTTGATATTTTTTAGGTGGAATATGTTCTTCATCGATATTTTCAGGTTTAATTAATTGATCTGCTTTTCTTTTGTGAGAAGTTTGACGATTAGTGGGCACTAGGGAGGTGCTGAAATTTGAGCTTCATCATATATGTTTGCATTATTTTTTTTCTTCAGAAACAGCGGTTGAATCATGATCATCATCTTTAAGTTCTTCTAGATTTAATGTATTGCTATTTGTTGTTTGTTCAAGTGGATTAAGACATGGTGAAGGTTTATCTTGAAGTTCAATATTGTATTCTTTACAAAATCTTCGGATACTATTTGATTGTTGTTGTTTATCATTCAAGAAATAAACATATACAAATCGTATAACAGCACGATATGCATGGAATTTGAAATTCATCAAATAATATAAACCAACAAATACAGTAAGTGATTGTTCAATTGAATTTGAAGAACAAATGAATGTCCAATCAAGATAAATTTTTATATTATCATCTTCCACAACTATTGTTGGCTGAGGAGTGGCCGGTTTGTGAAATGAATGAGAACATTAGTCGACATAAATTCAGTGACAAAACATTTAGAAAAGAGAAATGAAAATAGATCTCTTCATTTTCTCATGTAGTGGAAGATTATTTTGAGAATGAAACAAAATAAATTGATATAGAGACATATCCATTTACTTTAGATACTTTAAATACGTGACTATGACTGTATAACAGTTTTTATCAGCTAATATCTTCACGTTTAGACGAAATATAGCGAAGAATCATAGTATTCATAAAACCTCTCAATAATTAGAAAGAAAAACTAAAGTATTTTTTGATTTTTCATATTCAATCCGGAAAGGCTAGATATCTACTAGGTTGGACAACATATTTAATCTTACTAATTATATAAATCATTTCCATTTTCCTAATTTTGAAAAGAGTTGATAGTTAGGTACATATATAACTTACCTCAGGATAAAAGCAAATATAGTGTTTCCATGAATCGTTTAATATATTACACAACACTTTAAAGCAACGAATACTTGGATTATCTAACATAAGAAAATAGCAATTATTATAATTTTGAGTTTTTAAATACCTATTGGAAATTGATTATCGGAGCAAATTTTACTTGGAAGCATATCCATTTTTTCTTTAACGCAATAATCCAAATCGACACTTGTTAATATTTTAACATCTGCTAATACCTAAAATAATATTCTAAGGGCTGAAGTGTTAAAACTTATAATTAGCATTGATGGATTTGAATAAACAGGAAATTGTTCCATAATATCTGTAGTTGTGTGTTGCTTGATAAAACTTTGTCGATATGCATGTGTTTCAGTCCATAATTGTTTATAAATTTGATCATCAAATGAGTTATTTAGAAAATTTTTATTTATTATTTCAGTTTTTGCTTTCATTTGTTTTGAATCATTGGATGTACCTTCCACTATTGAAATCTAAAAAACAAAACATACACGTCTTTTTTACTTTTCTTAATGTAGCCTACTATTTTTAACGAATTTCTTTTCGACATTTGTGTCATAGGAAATCCTTTTATTTTTCTTTCTGGATTCATCTTTGAGTATCTTTGTTTCATTTCGATAATTTTATCATCACTAAGATTTTGACGTTCTCATTTATACTTGGAGATTAAAGACTCATGCCATGAATCCTACAATATAAAATAATTGCACTTTTGTAACAATAAATTTCATATTCACTCACGGCGTTTTTTGCATCACGTTCAATACCCAAATGATTCAGTATGCCAATGACAATAGTTATATATTGTGCTCTCGTCGGATATCTATGAAGAGAAAAACATATATATAAAATCAATTTTCAATACTAATACTCAGCGTAGACAACTTTAGACTTCCAATTCGAACTTTGATCTACTACATGATATACGTATCTCGTTTACATTTATTGATAGTTGGTCAATTTTTTCGATTCTCATGTAGTTATTTTTTTATACGTCTTTTAAGGCTTCCTCATTGGATAAGAGAAGATACTTGACTTAATGATTCAAAAGTGTGATACTCACAACAAATTATACTTCGTTTTTAAATCATGAAAAACTGAATCAACAACAATTAATTGAAAATTACGAAGTTTTTCGAATTTAACCATTTGTTTAAGAATTATTGCAACATTTATTTGATTTGGTAAAGTTGGTAATAAATCTAGATCTCGAAGTAGTTTTTCTTCTTCTAAATATTTTGTTCTTATTGTTGTTGTACTACTTGAAAAATTCACTACTGATTGAATTAATTCATTTCATCGATACTTATCAACGGTGCATCATTTGAAATTGATGGTGATTTTGGTTTTTTTAAATTGTTTTCGACAAAAAAAATTTTTCTGTTTCTTTCAAAAACATTATTTGATTTTTGTAAGATAATTTGAATGGCTTTAATAGATCCAAATCATTCATATAAAATAAAGTTTCACCATCTACTTGTTCCTCTAAAACAAAACAAAAAAGTTTAAAAAAAGAAGTTTCCAACTTTGGAGTTATTTAGCAATCAAAGTTCATATATGGAAGCATAGGATTGCATCGAAAGAAATGGTGGGTGTGGGTGTGGGCACGAATCTTTCCTTAACTGCCACTCACACCCACTCACACCCACTCACACCCATCCACATCCATCCACACCCACTCCACCCACACCCACACCCACACCCACACCCACACACCCACACCAACACCCACACCCTGCTCACTGATTATCTTTTCACTATATGATAAAACGATTAGAAATTTTGGCGATAATAGATACGAGCATGGGTACTGAAAGAAGGGATTAGATAATGTCATGCTAGAAATAAAAGTTATAAGATTAATAAAAGCCGCTTATAATAATAATTTCTTCTTTATTGTGACTGTTGATGATCCACGAACATTTGATCGGTCTGGTTTTCTTCCTGCATTTTGGGGAATGTTGAGGTTACGTCTCGGTTTCGAAGCTGCAGGAGTATAGCTATAGTAGTTGACAATAATTTCGTTGCGCTCTTCAACTCTTTTAGCAGACCATATATGTGAGTCACAGACAAACCTATGAATATTCCGGTAATAAGTTATGATGATGACTACAAATGTGTATCTGGAATAAGGAGGTACTAGTTCTAGCTCTCCAGAATCATACCGAGCTCTGGGTATACGGACCGCAGCTGTTAAATGATTATGAAAAATATTCGTTTGATACTGATTGAACCATTGAAAAAAATCGGCAGCTCCATTAAAAGAAGTTTGATCACGTCTCTGGATCGTTCTCCAATATTCGCTTAGCTCGTTCAACCTGCCTTGAAATTCTTCTTCTGTCTCTGACTGAATAAGAGATTCAGAAGAATCAAACATGAGTTCCATTAAACCACGACGTTCGTCTAATGCCGTACGGTATTTCATCAATTATCGTTCAATGCTTTGACGCACCTGTCATGTACAATAAAGATGGGTCGAATCCGGAAAGACACTCTCCACTGCCTTTTGAATTGCGTTTTCTCCATCACTCCCAATCACGAGTGTACTACAATCGCCCAGTTCAGGACGCACATAATCCAATAGCTTCTGATACGACTGTGCATCGTCTCGGTAATGAATCATTGTTGGTCCAATAAAAATCGGTGCCTTCTTAGTTTTGCGATATTGAGCGGCTGTATTTCGAAATGCTATTGGTGTGACGAAAAAGCGGTCAAGATTAAATGTTGTATCAATACGTATTCAGATTAACAACAGATTGCTATTAGAAAAGTAAAAGTGAAAATTACATAATACTGATGGTTGTGTTCGATCACAAGGATTGATACAGCACCGTTTTAATTCTTTAATCATATATGGTTGTGACAACATCAACACTGGCGCTTCCCTTCGACTCATCAAAAAACGGACCACGATGCTGTTAGACTTTTCTAGGTTTCCCATAATAACTAAATATTGTTCTACATTGGATTCGCTTTTTTGTTGCGCATTATATACTTGATTACGATCGCGAACTGTTGTTAACAATAGTAAGGAAAGTTCTTCAACATTATTAATTGCTGCATTGTAGATGGTTGAAGGTTTTAGATATCGCGGGTGTGACTATTTATGCACAAGAAATAATTAAATTATTATTATTATTTTCAATGTTGAACTTAGACCTATCACAAAACCAATACCGGTTGGTCATGACTAGTATTGATATTGATCGGTATTGGTACTGAGTAGGGTTAGCACTTTAATCTTTAAAACAATCCAAGTTAAAGTAGAATTTCTTCCACTAAAGAAAGTTTTTTAAGAAAAAAGCAATTTTATATAAAGTTTGATCAGAAGTCTTGGAGCTTGTAGAATCCAAATCTGAAATCGGTTCCTCGAAGTTCTGAATTTGATTTTTTCACAAAAAAAGGTTTTTTTAAAAAATGATTTTACAAAAAAAAAAGAGTTTTTTGTGAAAAAAATCAAAGTCAAAATTTCGAAAAGCCGATATCAGATTCATATTCCTCAACCGTAAAAACTTCTGATCAAACTTTATAAAACATCCCTTTTTTTCTTACAAAAGTTCTTCTTTAGTGAAAGAAATTCTACTTTAACTTTGATTTTTTTAAAGTTAAAGTGTCAACCCTATTCAGTATCAATACCTGTCAAAACCAATACCATCAATACTGTATTGTCATTGTGATATACCTAGTTGAACTCACTTTGATCTGATTGAGAACGAAAAGATAAGGTGGAAGTGAATGAACGATCCGATTTTTTCGCATTACCATGTGGTTTCAGTCGTAGACTTTCGATGTTATCATAGTTACCGATCGCATTCTGTAAAAAGATAGGCAGATTCAGTTTAGTCGAATCATCTTCTGCCAACGTTTGGCTCGCATAAGCTATCATTCGACGAAGCGAAGGATTGCTTGAATTTGTAGCATAATATCTACAGATAAAAATTATTAGTCTAGGCAACAATACACATAGAGAAATGTCTACTAACCGGTGCATTGTAATAACTCGATCTGAATTTACCGGACATGAGATATATCGATTTCCTATCCCTTCCTTATAATATAATTTTCCTGAAGCGTCACGACGTGCAATCTGATATTTATCTTGTTCTTTGAATATAAATAAAGTTCTTTCGGAACTCATTTGTTTCCATATTCCCTAGACTGAAAGGATAGGGTCTAGAAACCGTAATTCACCTGTGTCTGTCTATCCGTCTGTCTGTAGCACTGGCACAAACGACCATTTCTGTGGGACAAATGACCATTCTAGTCGCCAAGAACTGCTTATACTCGTAAAGCATGACGTTATTTGAGATGCATGTATGGAACGCCGGGTAGCTGGGAAGGGAGGCGAGTCGCTTCATTGAGTGCGGATGCTGAATATTAAGCACATCCTTGTTTTCATTCCGTCAGTCTAGGGCCCAGTGAATCGATCTTCGATGTCGATGAACGTTACTTGTTCCATTAGCGTCTTTTCCGA